CCCTGGAGGAGGCGGCCCCCGCCCGGGCCGTACAGGCGCCGCAGCTTGGGCGGCAGGTGCAGCTCAGCCTCGAACGGGGCGCTGCTGCCCTTGGGGGAGCCTGCGGGCAAGGGAGAGCGGTCAGCGCGCTAGCCAGCCGGGCGTCCCCGCCAGAGCCGCAGCCCGAGGCCGACCCGCCACTGCTCTCTCGGCCCCTAGTCCCCGTCTCCCCCACCCCCACCCCCCGCCCGCGCGCTACGGGACTTGGACCCCCTTCTCCTCCTTCCCCACTTTTCTGGCTGTTTCTTTTTCTTTATGTCTTTCCCTGTCTCTTAACTTCTCTTTTTTTTTCTTCTGTCCTCCTCCGTCCTTCTCCTCTCTTCTTTCCCTCTCCCACTCTTCCCTTCATTTCCTTTCTTCCTTCCTTTACCTCTTTCTGTCCTTCTCTTCCTTTCATTTTTATCTTCCTTCTCTTTTTCTCTTTCCTTCTCTACCCGTCTCTCCCTTTCTTTTCTCATCTTTCTCCTCTCCCTTTCCTTCCTTCCTTTCTCTTTTTGTGCGCTTTCCCCGCTCACTCTCCTCCTCCTTTCTTCCTTTCTTTTTCTTTCCCTTCGCGTGCTCTCTCTCTCTCTCTCCCTTTTTTTTCCCTCCCCATTTTAGGGCAGGGGAGAATCTGAAAACATTCAACGACTTAAAAAAAAAATGACCACCACCCTGAAAACTTTGCGCACGACCTCTGCCCTCTGCTCTGCCACGCAGGCCCAGGCCGGCGAGAGGGGCGCTGCCCGTGGGCGACCCCTGCGGGGGCCGAGGAAGCGGCCCGGTGGCCCTGAGCGCGCGGGCCGTGCCCCAACAGCCCGCAGCGGGAGGGGGCGGGGGCTCCTTGCACGGAAAGGCAAAGAAAAATCTTCCTGGAGAAAATGGGCTCGGAAAGGCCTGGGAGGGGGCAGAAGGGGGTACAACAGGCACAGGCCGCTCTTTCCCTTCGAGGAAGCGCCTGGCACAGGTGCCACTGCAGGCTAAAAAAAGAAAAGGAAAAAGTCAGTTTTATTTTAAACGGCCCCTGCTCCGCCATCTGTCCTGTCTTCCAAGTGGCGCTGCGGCTGGACCTCTGGTTTTAGGATTTTAAAAGAAATCAACAATTCTTTCCCTGTGATACTTCTGCGGGCAGCTCAAGGCGAAACTTGAGCGTAACACGTTCGGGGCAAAACGACGGTTGTTTTGGAATTTTTAATTTTAGAAAAAAAAACCTTTTAAGTATTTCAGCTCTATTTTAAAAAATAACACAGCAGAGAAAAAAATAGCAACCAGAAGCCACACATTTCATACATTTCAAATACAATAAGGAGCATTTGGGTAATCCCAGGGAGATGTTTTCTGCAAAGCTTGGGCTTAAAAGGTCACGAGTAATGTACAATTAAAAAAAGAAAGGGCGGAGGGGGGTGGGTGGGGAAAACACCGCATATAAAGAAATCTTCCAAAGAGGAAAGACCAAGGCTCACTCTACCTGGAGACCCCTATTCACACCTTTAGGGGTTCTTGTCTTCAAGTTGTTGTTACAAGGGTCCACCCGGCACCTGCTGTTTCTGACCTGTCGCCCCTCTTCAGAGCACCCCCCAGGCCACCAAAGGGAGCATTTAAACGACCTAAAGACCAGTTCCGAGAATCTAAGCTCCCCCCCTTCCCCAAAGCGAAGCTTGGCCTGTGCTTCAGGAAGCTGAGAGGAAGGGAGAGACAGCCCCTGGGGAGATGTTTGCCCCTCTTTGAGGCACCAGGCCTCAGAGTTGTTCTCTCTCTGTCCTCCGTCTCCACCTTGATAACCCCAGGCCCCTGGCTCCCGAACATCAAGCATCCAAACCAGTGCACAGCGCTCTTTGCAGGTGCCTGGCGGGCGCAGCCTTACCTTGCACGGCCTTTTCCTGGTCGGCGCGGCTGGCCAGTGGGGCGGGCAAGCTCTGCGCGGCTCCCAGCAGCCGCATTTTGCATGGGCTCCTCCGGCCCAGGATGCTGTCGATGCAGTAGGAGGAGAGCAAAGTTGGAGATTTACTTTTGCACTCGGGCCTCTCGGAACAGCCCTCCTCCTGGTACTGATTGCTCATGGCTGGGGCTTTTTCCCTGGCCGCAGGGAGCCGGGCCGCTGGCTGCCTCTCCTGGAGGGTGGGATGGATGGGTGTGTGTTGGGGAGTGGGGTTAGATGGCTGGTTATAATGGATATTACTGCGATCTCTGTGCCTCTCTGCCTCCCTTGCTTGCCGGCTGCTGGCTCCCGCCCTGTCCGCGGCCCGAGCTCGCCCTCTCCGCGCTCAGGACAAGCAGTAACAAGTGTAGTGAGCTGCGGGCGCGGAGCTCTGGAGTCTCTCTTCTCCACGTGCTGAGAGGCGCCCTCTGATTGGCTCTCGCCAGAGGCCGGGCTGCGCAGGGCTGCGGGCTCAGAGCAAAGCCTGGACTGGAGTCCGGAAAGGCCGGCGGGGATGGGGTGGGCAGCGGAGGATAAGGGGACAGCGGGCACTCGCCCGAACCATTTTTTTTTGTTTGTTTGTTTTTAACTAGCAAGTTCCTAAGTTCTCCATCTTCTTCCTGTAGATTCCCCTTTAGCCCTTCGGGCTGGCCCGAAGCCCTAGCTTACTCTGATGTGAGGCCTGTGGGTGCCACTTGGGCGACGTGCGCCCCTTCCACCAACCAGAGGACCTCGCTTCCTGGAGGCGAGGCCTTGAGGCTCGCGTTCAGACGGCCTTGGTACTTTGCAAAGCCAGTGCTTCGCTCCCAGGACAGCGCCTTGATCTCAGTGGCGCCCAGTCGCGGTGCTCTTTAGGCCGGACGGGCCCCCGAGGTGTCAGGGTGATGGCCGCAAGCAAACAATTTCTGTTTGGGCGATCACTTTTCTCTTGTGGCCCGACGCCTTGAGCTGTTAGTCTTCACCCTGAGCCGGGAGGTTGCTCTCGGGTTGGTAGCGGCCCCCAATCTCTCTCATCTTCTTGAACTCTGGAAAAAAAAGCTCTGCCAAAGGCGGGCGGCCTTCACTAGAGCACCTACAGGGCAGAACGGGACAGGCGAGGGTCAACTGCAGAGTCTGGGAGTCTCCCCCTCCTCCCCAGACTCGCTTCTCTCTTCTTCCCGCAAGTTCGCCTCCATTAGTTAGGCTGTCACCCCGAGGCTGGACACTCTCAAATCTCGTGCGGGGAGCAGACCTGTGGGGGCCCTGAGTGCTCGCGGGTAGGAAGGACCCAGGTTCGGCTTCTACCAAGCGTAAGCGCCTAAAATTCTTAGGGCCTGGCTCCCATTAGCAAAGGTAAGAGAATGAGACTGTGGTTGAACGCGTTTCTTACCAAACAACTTCCTGCGCGTCCAGCGCTGAGAATCGAGACCAACTGGGACTGAAGTTGGGCCAAGCCTGGGCGAGGGGCTAGCACGGACGCCCTCCTTACTTGGGTGCAGAGCTCAAGGGCCGGCCAGGCGCCCCCGACCACGGCAGGGTGGGGGCGAGGGTGGTAGGTGGGAGAGGGGTCGAGGAGGGGGAATCCACGCCGGGTTTTCCTGTCTCAACCCCTTCAATGTGTCAAAGAGAAAAGCGTTTTACAAAGGATTATACTTGAATCACTTACAGTCAGTATTTAAAAATACAAGGATGCATAACTGGGATTTTTTTTTTTCAGCCATAAACACCTGCATAACTCTTGGATGCTGGTTGGTGGGTGGCCAAAAGATCGGGCTCGCTTGGCAGGAGTATTCATGGCACAACTTGAGGGGGATGAAGGGTTGGGAACAGGTATATTAATAATGTGAATACGAACGCTGATATTACTACTACTATTAGAGGCAAGAGGGAAAAGATGTCTCTCTGTGTCCCTCTCTCTGTCTTTCTGTTTTTTAGTTTGATTCTCACCAGTTTTTCCTACACTTGGATGATGGGGCTGGGGGACGGAGGAGTTCCTGAGCTATCTCTGACATTTGATTTTAAGCCCTGCCTGCTGATCCAAGGCACCTGGGATCTTCTCCTGCCTTTCCTGCAGTCTTCCTTTTTCCATCCTCACCAACAGTTCCAGTTTTTATACCGTCCCATTCAGCTTTCCCCTAACATTCTGCGCACTGATTCCCTCCCCAGCCCCGAGAGCCCAGTCCCGGCAAGCGGGTCTCGACGCAGCTGTAAAGACGCGTCGGTCTCCTCCAAGCCTCCAGCCGCGGACGCTCGCGGGTGTCCCTGCGGCTGGTCGCTGGGAGAAACGGAGGCACTTTTCCCTCCCCGCCGGGCCCTGCGTCGGAAATCCACAAGACCCGGCTGCTGGGTGGCTCCGTGACTTCAGAGTCGGCTCCGCACACGCAGGGAGTGGGCTGAAAAATGAGTCCAAAAAAGATCGTGTTAAACAAAAGGAGACACAAACGCACAAATCATTCTGAGAGTCTAACAGGGTTTCAGCTCTCTCGGTGGAAGATTTCTTTGCTTCCGTCTCCCTCCTCCCCCTTCTGCAGCTGTTCTCCTTTTTTAAAAAAGAAGTCGGACTTTCTGCTGGGGTGTATTCTAATTTTAATCATCCACTGTAAAAGAGGAGGTTAACATAGAATTTCTGATTCTGACTTAATGACCCCTGGAATTAAATCTAATTCTATTAATGGAATATAATGTATTTCTTTGGGAAACCTGTTTGAAAACACTAGCTTTGTTATTTTATTTTGTTTATATTTGGTATTTCTAATCCGTCTTCCCCAGTGAGGACGCTATTGGGAAGGCACGTCCATTCACTTTGGGGAGATAGGGCCCGACCCAGTTCATTTTACACCCAGCAACCCTGAGATGATCTTTGTCACAATTCAATACCAACTTCAAAATCTACAATTAACTCTTGCTATTCCCGAAAGATTAAATTAAAAACCAACAACAGAAAACTTTTCCAGCATATCCACTGGGAGACAGAAACTGCTGGTGTCCCCAGTGTCTAACCAGAATATGGGTTTAGGATGTATGTGCTATCCTATTTGTTAATTTTATTTTTTTAAGGTAAGCTCTACACCCAACATGGGTCTCGAACTCACCACCCGGAGATCACGAGTTGCATGCTCTATGGACTCAGCCAGCCAGGCGCCCTTCCTATTTGTTATTTTTGAAAACAAAAATGATACTTCTAATGTCTAGGAAGAATTTAATTGATTTGTTGAGTAGGTAGACTTGTAAGAATTGGGCTACAGGATATGTATAAAAACTTTTAGGTTAGCCAATTTCATATTTACTGTCAGCAAAATGACACTTCACTTTCTTTTCATCTCACTTTCTTTTTCCCACGGATCAAAGTAATTTCATTTTAGTGGTAATATTATTCACGTTTGTACTTTGTTATGCACAACTCCTGGCTCCTCTAGTCTTTTGGGGTCTGTAAATATTGTTTTTTTATTTTCCCTGGGCTGCCCAGAAAACAATAGTTTGCAGTTCATCTGCCTTTACAATCAGTCACTGAAATAAAAATGACATTTATGGCCAGAACTAAGGGTCAGAAGTGTTTAAAACTGTTGTTTATGGTGAAAGATGAGGCTTGTCCCCAGGACTGGAAATAATAATTACCTAGAAGAGGCGGATGGAAGAAACTCCTTTCTTTGCCGTGGTGAGAACTAATTCTACATTGCAGTTTCAAAATTATATTTGCAAGAAATGCAGGGTAAGGGGGTGGCAGTAAATGTCATTATCCAGGGGGGAAAATGTTTGGAGGAGAGTTAACCTTGCAAATTTTCATTTGAGATGTTTTAATTTACTGTGCAATATACACACAGATAAAGAAAGCAGTGATGGGCGTTCAGCCTCACCGAACACTCAGGTCCCCTTAAATTATGCTCAACCTCTTCAAAACATATATTTAAACAATAGAAATAAACTTCACTGGAGTCTGGCGACCAATTTGGAAGCCATTGGAAGGGAAGACAATAAGTCCTGATTACACTCAAGGATTCTCTGTGATGTGATATCCCCTTTGCCAAGTCATTTTGCTGTTTTATTTATTTTTCTTTCTTTCTTTTTTTTTTTAACAAACTTTCATTCATTTATGGTCTTCCGCAACCTGCTAATTTAACACTGGAGCGCGTTATTGCAGTGTTAGGAGGAGAGAAAGAGGGAGAGAAAACAACAATACTGCAATGATCCAAATGATACAGTAGAATTATAGCAATTATAGTTCTACTTGTGGAAGAAAACCTTGCTGAGATCAGGCAAACAAACTGAAGCCTTGTGAGGATAACAAGCGTCGGGATTGACAGCCGGTGCTGGGAAGAGCCGGAGGGCACAAACAGAAATATTTGCCTCACCCCCACCCCCCTTAACTCCAACCAGTCAAGGTTAACCTCCTCAAATGCTGCCTTCAGAGTCTTATCCACTTCGGGGTATACATTTTATGCACAAATCGTGGTCTCTCCTTCTGGAAGTCTGATAATAGGAGGAAATGCAACATAATCCGCTTGCCTAGCACTTGTCCCTCGCCTTCTCTGCCCCATGCTTGCCCTCCACTCCCTACCCCTGCCCCAGTTCTCCCCGAGGCTGCGGGGATCTGTCTGCGGACGGTGTTTGTTTGTTGCCGTGTTTTCAGAGGATCAGATCGTGGAAAGGTCCAAAGGGACTGACAACTTGGATTTCCAGGAGACTCCTTGGTGTTTCCTAGACCCCCCTCTTCTCCGTGTAGTCCGCCTGAACCCTGGGTTCCACCAAGAGGGCTCAGCTGGGAGAGGTGTGTTGGGAAGCAGAGCTTTCGGAAGCGTCCGGAGGACCGCGGCCGAGCCCTCAAGGTACGGACGTGTGGGTGTGATCACTGCGTTAGGACAGCTCCCCTTATTTGCAAACTTTGCCACTTTTGGTTACCCTTCAGCAGGCAGGGAAGGGGGTGGGGAGCGAGAAGTAGAGAGAAAACAGACCCCACCCCCCACCGCAATCATCCCCTCAGGCGGCCAACCAAGGCATTTTCTAGCCTTGCTCTACGCACAAAGCCAGGGGAGCGGGTCGCAGCTCACGTCTGCCCTCGGAAGGCGGAGGAGGAGGGGGAGGAGCGGGAGGCCCCCCCCCTTCCCAGGGGCGAGAAGCAAGTGTTTGGGCTCTCACCCTGAGTCCCTCGGCGGGACCGCTCCCCCCCATCTCCTGCCGCACCATTCCCCAGGTTTCCAGACCAGAGAGGGAAACTTCTCAGCGCCCTGTAATCGCCACCATCTGGTTTCTTCTCTCCAACGCCGCCGGACGGCGGAACCCTGGGTGCGTCCGGGGTCGAGGCGTCCCCGGGGCAGCCAGCGTTATTCTGTAGCTGCTGCTCCTGGCGCCCCCGGACTTGGGGTGTGTGTAGGGGGCACGGGTTGGAGCTCACGTCAGGAGCAGCGAGGGACCCAACGCCGGCGTCAATCCGGAGGCCCATGCCGACCCTCGCTGTTGGCGTCCTCGCCGCGGAGCCCCCCTCTCGGGCTCGGCTCCGCGCCACGGCCAGAGCGCGCCCCCTAGCGGGGTCTCCGGGTGGGCCGGGCCCTTCCGCCGCAGCCTCTGGGCACTGAAGTTGGCAGATCCTAGTGATATTGCAGGAATGAATGGGGGAAGAAAACAAAAGCCTTGGAAACATTTCCAAGTGTGCAATAAAAGACCCATCTGTACCTTTCTTCTCCAGCGCGTTCGTGGTTAATGTCCCCCCATGCGCGCGAGAGGGGAGATAATTGCTGGGTGGATTCTTGCTGGAGAACCTCAGGAAACAGTGGCCCGAGAAGTGGAATAATTGGGGGTGGGGCGAAGGCAAGCGTGCAGAGGCTGCAACACCAGCCTGAGATCCGAATCCGCTGTCTCTGGGGTGTTCATGGAGGCCTGGCCGCCTGCGCCCTCGGGTTTCTCAGTCCCTGGTGAGGGGTCATCTGAAGGTAGCTACTCTTATATTTCTTTTATTTGCAGTCGGTCTCTGTGGCACCCCCACATCCTGGCTCTATGATCCGCTCCCACCTTCTGACTCTAGAACACCCCACCTTCGGATTCTAGGATTCTCCAGCTTTTGCCTCAATGATTCCCCCACCTTCTATCTTCATGATCCCTCCACCTTCTGACTCCGTCCCCCACCTCTGACTTGATGGCCCCCTACTTTCTCACTCTCCGGGAATCTGGCCACCGCCCTGCTCCACCTCCCCCAGGCACCACCTCCCTCCGGCAGCATCTGCATCAGGAAATCGTCAAGCCCAGATTCCACCACCCTCCACTACTCACAAATCACCTACTCCCACTTGGCCTGGCCAGAAACAGACAAAAGAGAAAGGCAGGGTTCCTGTCCATCCCCCCTTGGACTTGTTCAACCTAGAAATGATGAGTTTTCTTGAGGCTCTTAGAGCCTCTGGTGGAAAGCTACTAATGAAGACTTTACAAAGGTGAAAAATTATCAGTTCAAATCAATCCATAACTTATTTCTTTTGCACTAGTGTGTTAAGTCTCACTCATCAATCAGAAAAACACAAATCGAGCTTCTCAAAACCTGGAGTGTCTGCATATTCATGTCCTCAGCCCTGCAGGATTTGAAAGTCTTGCTAAGGCCACCAAAACGTTTTATAGGTAAGGCCTAGAAAGGAGGGTCCAAAAATAGGAGTGATAACGGCTCTTTAGAGTCTCTTATTTTGCGATGTGTCTCGATAATTGTGAAGTTCAACACGAGGCTTTCCCTGCCCAGAAAAGGCTGGTATTTCAGAGTGGGGGGGAGCAGATGGAGGGGGGTCCTGTGGGAAGGGAGACGTGGGTGTCCCCGTGTTTAATTGAGAGTTGCATTGTGTTGAAAGGAGGAGGGAAGATGCCAAAGCTGAACAGCGTTCTGTTCCCTTCGTCACAAAATAACCTGCAAGTAAAAAAAAAAAAAAAAAGCCCGCAACTAAGACAGAGCCGGCTCTGCAATAGATACCGCTAGAACCACAGTGCCTCTGGAATAAAGAGATCTAATTTCCTGCCGCAAATCACTTACCCGATCAGAAAACACAAATAGCTGAACAGAAGGGGAAAAAATAGAGGAGGAGGACGAGGACGAGGAAGAAAGGCCCCGGAATAAAAATAACTGCGCAAAAGGGCTTGCATTCCACGCGCTGACAGGCGTCTCCTCCGAATCTGGGGCAGTTGCATCCTCCCCCCAGCGGCCCCCCTTCTGCCCTTGGACTTTCCAGGCCCCCCACCCCCCGCGGGATCCGTTTCAGGGAC